GCACTCTGAAGGAGGGGTGTTAATGTTGCAGTTTAAAAACTGTAGTGTAAAGCACCCTTCTGGCAAGACAGTGATGGAGTGAATGATGGTGAAAGTTTTTCTTTTTCGGGCCACCCTGCCTTGGTGGGAATCGGCCAGTGTGATAAAAAAAAAAAAAATATATATATATTAGTATATATGTAGGTAGTAGGTTGGTAGACAGCAACCACCCAGGGAGGTACTACTGTCTTGCCAAGTGAGTGTAAAATGAAAGCCTGTAATTGTTTTACATGATGGTAGGATTGCTGGTGTCTTTTGTCTGTCTCATAAATATGCAAGATTACAGGTACATCTTGCTACTTCTACTTACACTTAGGTCACACGAAACATACATGTACACGTTTATTTATACACACTTATCTGAGTTTTCTTTGATTTTATCTTAATAGTTCTTGTTCTTATTACTTTTCCTTTTATATCCATGGGGAAGTGGAATAAGAATCTTTCCTCCGTAAGCCATGCGTGTTGTAAAAGTCAACTAAAATGCCAGGAACAATGGGCTAGTAACCCCTTTTCCTGTAATAATTACTAAAAAGAATAAGAAGAAAAAAATTGTCGAAGTGGGATGTCTGAATGTATGTGGATGTTGTGCGAATAATAAGAAATTTTTGATTGTGGATGTTATGAATGAGAAGAAGCTGGATGACCTGGCTTTAAGTGAAACAAAGCTGAAGGGGGTGGGTGAGTTTCAGTGGAGAGGAATAAATGGGATTATGTCAGGGGTTTCAAATAGAGTTAGAGCTAAAGAAGGAGCAGCAATAATGTTGAAGGATAAGCTATGGCAAGAAAAGAGGGACTATAAATGTATTCAAGGATTATGTGGAGTAAAATAAAGGTTGGATGTGAGAAGTGGGTTATAGTAAGCATATATGCACCTGTGGAAGAGAGAAGTGTAGAGAAGAGAGAGAGATTTTGGTTAATGTTGAGTGAATGCGTGGGGAGTTTTGAACCAAGTGTGAGAGTACTTGTGGTTGTGGATTTTAATGCTAAAGTGGGTAAAAATGTTGTGGAGGGAGTAGTAGGTAAATTTGGGGTGCCAGGGGTAAATGAAAATGGGGAGCCTTTAATTGAGCTATATGTAGAAAGAGGTTTGGTAATAAGTAATACAGTGGACCCTCGACCAGCGATGCCATCGATTAACGATAAATCTGACTAGCGATACATTTTATCGCAAAAATTTTGCCTCGATTAGTGCTAAAAAACTCGACCAACACTATTCGTTCCGTCTGAGACGCGTCCACTTCTGACCAGTGTTTACAAGCCAGCCAGCCACCGCGGTCACTTCCAAGCATACAATCGGAACATTTCATATTATCACAGCCTTTTTAGTGATTGCACCTGCAAAATAAGTCACCATTGGCCCCAAGAAAGCTTCTAGTGCCAACCCTACAGCAAAAAGGGTGAGAATTACTATGGATATGAAGAAAGAGATCATTGCTAAGTATGAAAGTGGAGTGCGTGTCTCCGAGCTGGCCAGGCTGTACACAAAACCCCAATCAACCATCGCTACTATTGTGGCCAAGAAAACGGCAATCAAGGAAGCTGTTCTTGCCAAAGGTGCAACTATGTTTTCGAAACTGAGATCGCAAGTGATAGAAGATGTTGAGAGACTGTTATTGGTATGGATAAACGAAAAACAGATAGCAGGAGATAGCATCTCTCAAGTGATCATATGTGAAAAGGCTGGAGTTGCATGACGATTTAATTAGAAAAATGCCAGCAACTAGTGGTGATGTGAGTGAATTTAAGGCCAGCAAAGGTTGGTTTGAGAGATTTAAGAATCGTAGTGGCATACATAGTGTGATAAGGCATGGTGAGGCTGCCAGTTTGGACTAAAAAGCAGCTGAAAAATATGTGCAGGAATTCAAGGAGTACATAGACAGTGAAGGACTGAAACCTGAACAAGTGTTTAATGGTGACACTGACAATGTTGTGAACCACTTTAGGAAAGTCATAAAGGAACGAGAGGTACAAGTAACTATGGACAGATATGTTGTGCGACAGAAGTCCAGTGACTCTGAAGCTGGTCCTAGTGGCATTAAAAGAACAAGGAAAGTAACCCCAGAAAAAGACTTGCTGCCTCAAGTGCTAATGGAAGGGGATTCCCCTTCTAAACACTAACACCTCTCCCCTCCTCCCATCCCATCAATCATCACCAGATCTTCAATAAAGGTAAGTGTCATGTAACTGTGCATGTAATCTTCAGTTTGTGTGTATTAAAATTAATATTTCATGTGGTAAAATTTTTTTTTTTTCAATACTTTTGGGTGTCTTGCACGGATTAATTTGATTTCCATTATTTCTTATGGGGAAAATTAACTTGACTAACGATAATTTTGACTAACGATGAGCTCTCAGGAACAGATTAATATCGCTGGTTGAGGGTCCACTGTACATATTTTATGAAAAAGAGGATAAATAAATATACAAGGTATGATATAGCACGTAATGAAAGTAGTTTGTTAGATTATGTATTGGTGGATAAAAGGTTGATGGGTAGGCTCCAGGATGTACACGTTTATAGAGGGGAAACTGATATATCGGATCATTATCTAGTTGTAGCTACAGTTAGAGTAAGAGGTAGATGGGACAAGAGGAAAATGGCAAGAACAAGTAAGAGGGAGGTGAAAGTGTATAAACTAAGGGAGGAGGAAGTTCGGGTGAAATATAAGCAACTATTGGCAGAAAGGTAGGTTGGTGCAAGTATGACTAGTGGGGGGGTTGAAGAGGGTTGGAATAGTTTTAAAAATGCAGTATTAGAATGTGGGGCAGAAGTTTGTGGTTATAGGAGGGTGGGTGCAGGAGGAAAGAGGAGTGATTGGTGGAATGATGAAGTAAAGGGTGTGATAAAAGAGAAAAAGGTATCTTATGAGAGGTATTTACAAAGCAGAAGTGTTATAAGAAGAGTAGAGTATATGGAGAGTAAAAGAAAGGTGAAGAGAGTGGCGAGAGAGTGCAAAAGGAGAGCAGATGATAGAGTGGGAGAGGCACTGTCAAGAAATTTTAATGAAAATAAGAAAAAATTTTGGAGTGAGTTAAACAAGTTAAGAAAGCCTAGAGAATGAATGGATTTGTCAGTTAAAAACAGAGTAAGGGAGTTAGTAGATGGGGAGATGGAGGTATTGGGTAGATGGCGAGAATATTTTGAGGAACTTTCAAATGTCGACGAAGAAAGGGAGGTGGTAATTTTATGCCCTGGCCAGGGAGGTATACCATCTTTTAGGAGTGAAGAAGAGTAGGATGTGAGTGTGGGGGAGGTGTGTGAGGCATTACGTAGAATGATAATACGTACTACGTAATAATAATTAGAGGTAGTAGATTGGTAGACAGCAACCGCCCAGGGAGGTACTGCCATCCTGCCTAGTGAAGTGTAAAACGGAAGCCTGTAATTGTTTTACATGATGGTAGGATTGCTGGTGTCTTTTTTCTGTCTCGTAAACATGCAAGATTTCAGGTACGTCTTGGTACTTCTACTTACACTTAGGTCACACTACACGTGCATTTACGAACATATATATACACAAACCTCTTGGTTTTCTTTATTTTCTTACTAGTTCTTATTCTTGTTTATTTCCTCTTATCTTCATGGGGAAGTGGAACAGAATTCTTCCTCCATAAGCCATGTGTGTCATAAGAGGTGACTAAAATGCCAGGAGCAAGGGGCTAGTGACCCCTTCTCCTGTTTACATTACTAAGGTTAAAACGAGAAACTTTTGTTTTTCTTTTTGGATCACCCTGCTTTGGTGGGATACTGCCGGTTTGTTGAAATAATAAATAATAATAATAATAATAATAATAATAATACAGGTCTGCCATCACAAATCCAGCAGTCAGACATCCGGTTCCATCAGTTATTCGGCACTAATTTTGGCTAGAGTAATTTCAAATTTCCAGAGTCGCCACACCAACCTGCTGCATAAAACATTCCAATTTCTTTTTCTCCATTTATTGTTATAACCTGCTTACTTTTAGCTCTAGCCATGGTTCCAACAAATAAAAGAAATGATTCTCATTGTGTACAGCACATACACAGTACATTGTCCATAAAAGATAACATGGCTTTGAAGCCACTGTTGATTGCCATGAGCTCAGTCTGGTGATGCAGGGGAATATGCTTTATTATTACACTAATATCAACAGTATGGCTTATTTACCTATCACAATTGATCTAATATGACATAATAAACAATATAAATAACATAAAAACATGTTAAATACTCCAGAATGAATAATATTTGGCATAATAACAAGCAATTCGACGGAGGTATGAAGAGGATATGGGATACAAGTACCATCCTCCTATCCCTGTCTTGGGGCTTATATTAGAGAAAACAGAGTATAGCACAGGGCTAACTGTGATATACACTTGTAATGCACCATAAAACTAAAACAAAAAAGCTATTTTCTCTACATAAATTATCATACATAGCAGCATATGTGTAGAGAAGCTAGGATAACCCAAAAAAGTCAGACAAAGTGACTTATTTCTAGTACCTGGCTTGGGCTTGCCATTGTATATGATTTTTGGTAATTTTTTTTTCTCAGTTGTTTGTTGGGCTATCTTATTGAAACTTGGGCAATGTATGATGGAAAGATGCTTCTTAACGTACACCAAAAATTAAATAAATCGGACTATAAATAACGGAGTTCACTTCTCAGCCATTAGCCGCCCCTTAGCGGTATATTTTCATACGGTTTTTATGGTTGTATTCTCGTTTTTTGGTCTCATTTGATAGAATGAAAGATATATTACTGAAATAGATATGATTTTGATTGGTTTCATGACAAAAAGTACCTTGAAATTGAGCTCAGAGTAGCAGAAACGTTTGATTTTTGCTGATGTTCAATGAACTTTCTTGTGTAAGTGTATTCTAACCTAACCACTCTGTAATCCGGCACACTATAGGTCCCAATGATGCCAGATTTGTGATGGCAGACCTGTAATAATAACGGTATTGCAGGTGTGGAAGGCAGAAGCCCGAGAGCTATGTGCTTGTGAGGGTGTACCTGGAGGCCCTACAGTGCTGGTGGCTGTGAAAGGTGTCAAGGAGGGTGCCGGTACTAAGGAACGACAGGACCTGCTCAAAGAGCTGGCCATCATGCAGCACATCGGACAGCATCCTAATGTTGTCACTCTCTTGGGCTGTTGCACTCAGCAGGGTGAGTCTTTGTAGTTTGTTTGTCCCTCTCCTGGGCTGCTGCACCCAATAGTGTCTTTGTATGAAATGAAGGTATCAGACAGAGATGTAGTAAATTAATGATAAACAGATAGAGAAAGCCTCTATTAAAATGACATTGTGCTCTGTGAGAGCTTTATCGTGTTACCAAATTAGTAACTTGATAAAGCTCACTCTTGAGTAAAATGTTTTAATAAAATTATTATATTTAGGGGGAAATGCTAATCAGGAGTTGCACATAGGGGTTGGCAAGGGGGCTGAAGCCCCATAAAAATTCCATCAGTCCCCCCAAAGTCATGCAAATAAAATAATAATACTGCTATAAGAGAAGTTTCCTAGCCCCTCTTGTAATTACACTGCTGCCCCTAAGCTCCTCTTTTATGATACTTCTGGAGGTGCCCCTGCTCTGGAAGATCATATAACATTTGGGGAGCATTAGGTAATTGGGTTCAGTCCAAGGGAGGTAGGAACAAGTCATATTTCTTGGATCAAAAGCCCATTACTAGCATTTTAAGAAAAGCTTGAGTTTTCTACATGTCTTTGATTTACCAGGGTGAGTCTTTGGGGTTTGTTTGTCTTTAAATTATTAATGTATCTGTAGAAAACAGGTTAGGTAAGGTTCATCAGGATACAGGACAAATGTTTCCTGATGCGGGTCTTAGTCAGATGATGACCCGCCTTTGGAGCTTTTGGTCATCTGACCGAGGCCTTCCGCTGGCTTACCAGTCCACCCCTTTAAAAATTATGGTCATTTATAACCATTGTTATTACTTCTTGTAGAACACACTTTATATGTTTATTATCTAAAATTGTTTACGAGCCAATTCAGTTCCGTAAATCACTACATTATTATAATATTTACTTGAGGTGCTAAACCAGTGTGGGTCATTCATTATTGTAGGTGAGCCTTACAGTAATCAATACAGCTGGCATATTCAGTGTTAGGCAAGTAAGTAAGTAAGTTTATTCAGGTATGCACAAATACAGTTACATAGAATTATCATACATAGCAGCATATGTGTAGAGAACCTAGGATAACCCAAAAAAGTCAGACAGAGTGACTTATTTCCATTGGGGTCCTTTTACCTTATTATTATAGTATAAAGGTTATAATATTTTCTTATTATTCTACAATGAAGATAACATCTTATTATCATACTAAAAAGACTATCTGCTACACCACGGTCATTAAGACTATCTACAATACGAGGGTCATTACAAGGAATAAGGTAAAATTTACACGTATGTTAGCTAAAAAATAGAAAATCATTCCCCTCCCTTTCTGTAGCTACATTCATCAGACACCTTTTGGCAGTCTTCTTGAACTGGTTCAAGCTATGACTGGCCTTGACATTTGTGGGTAGTCTGTTCCATTCCTTTATTGCTGTACAATAAAAGGTGTTTGAAGCCTGGCCACTGACTGTGGGTACTACAAAGTTGTGCTCTCTCCCCCTAGTACTATGATTGCTTTGGTTCCCAACCTTGACAAAACTGACAGCAAGATATTCTGGACATTGTTTGTGAGCAATTTTATAAACATGATTTAGCTTCAGTTGTTTTACTCTGTCTTCAACATTCAGCATATCCAACTGCTGTAATTCATCCTGGCCTACATGTTCTCTTGGTCCCAGCCCCAGGATGAATCTTACGATTTTGTTCTGGGTGATTTGCAGTCTATCTTTCAGTTTTTTTGTCAAGGCAGAGTACCAAGAAGAACAAGCGTAATCCATATGGCATTGTATAAGGGCTAGACATAGGGTCCTGCGAGCCTCAGTAGGTAGACACTGTGCTTGTCTATACAGGAACTTCAGTTTGGCATTCGCTTTCTTTACTACACTGTTCCCTATCAATTCTCCTGACATGCATGGGTCAAAGGGGATTCCCAAATATTTTACTGATGAAACCAAAGTGATGGGCTCCCCATTACATTGAACATTAAAATTATTTACCCTTCTCAGTTTATGTTTCGTGCCAAAGAGAATGGCTTCAGTTTTCCCTAGGTGTAATGATAGTTTGTTGTCTACTAACCATTTGCTGCAGGACTCCAGTTCCAGTGTTAAAACATTAGCAATATCTTGTGGGTCTTTACCTGACACTAACAGAGCACTGTCATCTGCATACAGTAGGAGTTTGCACTTGACACTGATAGGCATATCATTGACATAACATAAGAATAATAAAGGACCCAGAATACTACCTTGGGGAACTCCACATGTTATCGGCAGGGGTTCTGATTCTGTTTTGTTGATTTTGACTATTTGTCTCCTGTTGCTAAGGTAGGACTTAAACCAGTCTACAGAACCTATACCAATAGCTTGAAGTTTATTACATAATATATTGTGGTTGACAGTATCGAAGGCCTTTTGCAGGTCTAAAGTTACCATGCCTATGAGGTTCCCCTTTGACATTTCAGTTCTCAGGTAATCCATCAGATTAATAAGGGAGGTGTCGGTTGAGTAGGATCTTCTAAAGCCCGATTGATAGCTATGGAGAATGTTGTTGTCATTAAGGTACTTAACTACTTGAGAATACACCGCCCTCTCTAGAATTTTAGATATTATACTGAGTATACTAACAGGCCTATAGTTGCTTACATCAGACCTACTATTTTTCTTGAAGATAGGAGTGACTCTGGCCTCCTTGAACCCCTCCGGTACTGTATTAGTGGTGATTGATAGATTTATTATGTGAGCAATAGGGATTGACAGTTCAGAAGCACCATCTTTTAGGAACTTAGACGGGATGTTATCAGGGCCTGTGCTCTTAGTTGGGTTTAACCTGCACCGGCACCAATTTATAGTGAAAATTCAACTAAAAATGATGCAGTAAGATCTCAAACAATAGGCCAACTTGAGTGTTATATTGTTTAATTATATTCCTTTAAAGTATCTCAAAACATTAACAATTAGCCTAGACATGAACCCAGTCAGTAATTCAGTGTGTGTAACATTAAGCACACACAATCGTTAAAAACATAAACTGCCCTTTTTTCAGTTTTTCTTTGGCAAATATTTGTTTGATTATTTTTTTTTTATTATTATCACACTGGCCGATTCCCACCAAGGCAGGGTGGCCCGAAAAAGAAAAACTTTCACCATCATTCACTCCATCACTGTCTTGCCAGAAGGGTGCTTTACACTACAGTTTTTAAACTGCAACATTAACACCCCTCCTTCAGAGTGCAGGCACTGTACTTCCCATCTCCAGGACTCAAGTCCGGCCTGCCGGTTTCCCTGAATCCCTTCATAAATGTTACTTTGCTCACACTCCAACAGCACGTCAAGTATTAAAAACCATTTGTCTCCATTCACTCCTATCAAACACGCTCACGCATGCCTGCTGGAAGTCCAAGCCCCTCGCACACAAAACCTCCTTTACCCCCTCCCTCCAACCCTTCCTAGGCCGACCCCTACCCCGCCTTCCTTCCACTACAGACTGATACACTCTTGAAGTCATTCTGTTTCGCTCCATTCTCTCTACATGTCCGAACCACCTCAACAACCTTCCTCAGCCCTCTGGACAACAGTTTTGGTAATCCCGCACCTCCTCCTAACTTCCAAACTACGAATTCTCTGCATTATATTCACACCACACATTGCCCTCAGACATGACATCTCCACTGCCTCCAGCCTTCTCCTCGCTGCAACATTCATCACCCACGCTTCACACCCATATAAGAGCGTTGGTAAAACTATACTCTCATACATTCCCCTCTTTGCCTCCAAGGACAAAGTTCTTTGTCTCCACAGACTCCTAAGTGCACCACTCACTCTTTTTCCCTCATCAATTCTATGATTCACCTCATCTTTCATAGACCCATCCGCTGACACGTCCACTCCCAAATATCTGAATACGTTCACCTCCTCCATACTCTCTCCCTCCAATCTGATATTCAATCTTTCATCACCTAATCTTTTTGTTATCCTCATAACCTTACTCTTTCCTGTATTCACCTTTAATTTTCTTCTTTTGCACACCCTACCAAATTCATCCACCAATCTCTGCAGCTTCTCTTCAGAATCACCCAAGAGCACAGTGTCATCAGCAAAGAGCAGCTGTGACAACTCCCACTTTGTGTGTGATTCTTTATCTTTTAACTCCACGCCTCTTGCCAAGACCCTCGCATTTACTTCTCTTACAACCCCATCTATAAATATATTAAACAACCACGGTGACATCACACATCCTTGTCTAAGCCTACTTTTACTGGGAAAAAATTTCCCTCTTTCCTACATACTCTAACTTGAGCCTCACTGTCCTCGTAAAAAACTCTTCACTGCTTTCAGTAACCTACCTCCTACACCATACACTTGCAACATCTGCCACATTGCCCCCCTATCCACCCTGTCATACGCCTTTTCCAAATCCATAAATGCCACAAAGACCTCTTTAGCCTTATCTAAATACTGTTCACTTATATGTTTCACTGTAAACACCTGGTCCACACACCCCCTACCTTTCCTAAAGCCTCCTTGTTCATCTGCTATCCTATTCTCCGTCTTACTCTTAATTCTTTCAATTATAACTCTACCATACACTTTACCAGGTACACTCAACAGACTTATCCCCCTATAATTTTTGCACTCTCTTTTATCCCCTTTGCCTTTATACAAAGGAACTATGCATGCTCTCTGCCAATCCCTAGGTACCTTACCCTCTTCCATACATTTATTAAATAATTGCACCAACCACTCCAAAACTATATCCCCACCTGCTTTTAACATTTCTGCTAAGCCACAAGGGCTATACAGCAATATTTGTTTGAATACTGTAAATTTTTATTTGATATTTTCAACTGAAATGCCAAAAAAAAAAAAAAAAAAAATATCCTCAAGTTTAGAATTATATTTTTCTCAGATTAAATAATACATGTAGTCAATAGTCTTTATCTGCATACTATTTTTGTTTTGTAACTAAAGTAATAAGAGTTGTGTCCTGACAGAGCCTCACTATGTGATCATGGAGTATGTGATGTTTGGCAAGTTGTTGACCTTCCTGCGTGACCACCGCACCAGACACAACTACTTCAATTTTTCCTCGGACACTGAGGCGCTCACTTCAAGAGATCTCACACGTTTTGCTTGCCAGGTGGCCACTGGCTGCGAGTATTTACAGTCTCGAGGGGTAAGACACACCTTGCATTTCCAGTACTAACTGCATAGTAAAAATTATGTGAATATGCAAAATCATAATGTTATTATTATGTAGGTCATTCAATGAAATGCTATTAACATATGAGCCCAGCATCGTAATTCAGATATTCTTTTCCTTTCAGATCATTCACCGTGACCTAGCCTCCCGCAACATCCTGGTAGACCACACAAAGGTGTGCAAGATTGCCGACTTTGGTCTGGCACGCAACGTCAAGGATCTGGGCACTGACATTTATGAGCAGAAGAGTCGGGTTAGTGACTGCAGAATGATTTACTGCTTTCAGGGATTCACCAATTTGTGATTAATTATATTAGTGTGTTGTTGCTGCTTTCATATTCATTGTTTTCAAGGGTTTATATTTCCTGTTTAGTTCTGTTTCTCTGAAGGTTCTAAAAATTAATTTTATTAACATATTTTGGCCCAGAAAAGTGCATTGATGCATTTAGAATTGTTACATTCATGGGGAAGCTCTGAACCCATTAGCCATCAGGGTTTGGAAAGTAATCAGGTTTAATATGAGAGTAGCTCTAGTTTCCATGGATCAAGAGCATATTCATTTAGGGTTTTTTTAAAAAATAAAGGAATATTTAAAACTAATTATTTAGAAAGCTCTAAATAGTGGTATAGGTAATTTCCAAGACACTTTTAGCAGGGGGGGAGGGGGAACCTTTATCATATGTTATACCATTGTATGATAAGCCCTCCCCCCCCCCAAAAAAAAAAAGTATATTTTTTTCTAATTTGGTAACATGCATATATCAACACAGGGAGCCCTGCCTATCAGATGGATGGCACCCGAGTCTCTCTACATGAGTATTTTTACCCACAAGTCTGATGTTTGGAGTTTTGGTATTCTTTGCTGGGAGATTGTCACCTTGGGTAAGATCTTAGTTGTTTTTTCCAAGTCAATATGATTGCACCTCTTAACTGAAAGTGTATTTTGCACAGCTGCACATACCATCTTGCCCCTGAAACAAAAGAAACAGTGAGCATGTTTCAAAATGTATAAATTTTTTTATACCATATATTTTAGATAAAAAAAACAGAGGGTTTTCATTTTTAAACTAAATTTTATGAGAAACTATGTAGACCCACAAGGAAATAGGATTAATTAAAAGGGGTGGGAGTTACCTTACTTAGCTATATTTTTCAGCTTTAATTTACTGACAAAAATATCAAGAATGGGAATAGAGAAAATCAGTTGGAGACATGAAACAAGAAAATAAGAGGAAAGGCTCTATATATTTTTAGCTTCTGAGGTCCTCTTCAGCATGCTGAAAACCTCTGCTGTGTCTCATTTATATATCCAAGTGGGCTTATCTGTTCTCATTGAATAGTAATCATTACTACCAACAATGACTGTGTGTACACTCACCTAATTGTGGTTGCAGGAGTTGAGCCATAGCTCCTGGCCCTGCCTCTTCACTGGTCAGTACTAGGTCCACTCTCTCCCTGCTCTATGAGCTTTATCATACTTATTAAAATTATGTATGGATCCTGCCCCCACTACATCATTCTCCAGGCTTCCACTTTCTGACAACTCTGTGACTGAAGAAATACTTCCTAACATCCCTGTGACTCATCTGAGTCTTCAATTTCCAGTTGTGACCCCTTGTTGCTGTGTTCTATCTCTAGAACATCCTGTCTGTCCACCTTGTCAATTCCTCTCAGTATTTTAGGTCACTATCATGTCTTCCCTCTCTCTCTCCTGTCCTCCAGTGTTGTCAGGTCAATTTCCCTTAACCTCTCCTCATAGGACATGCCCCTTAGGTCCAGGACTAGTCTCATTGCAAACCTTTGCACTTTCTCTTAATTTCTTGATGTGCTTGACCAGGTGTGGGTTCCAAACTGGTGCTGCATACTCCAGTATGGGCCTGACATACACTGTGTACAGAGTACTGAATGATGCCTTACTGAGGTGTTGGAATGCTATTTGTTTGTGTACACTCGCCTATTTGTGGTTGCAGGGGGTTGAATCATAGCTCCTGGCCCCCATCTCTTTATGTATGTGTGTATTTTTCCTTCTGCATGACCTGACAAAGCTCTACACAGTAAAATGGTATTTCAATAAAAGTGTGTTGTGTGATGTCTTCACTCATGAAATTAGTTATGTCTTGCTTCCATTCCAGCACTGTATTTAAAGAAAACATATTAGGGGTTTGGGATACTGGCTGTCTGGAGTAACATCTAAACTTTTATCTGGGTGCCTCTGCAAAGACAGTGATTGTGTGTGAATGGTGAAAGTTTTTCATTTTTGGGTCACCCTTGGTGGGAGACAGCCAACATGTGAAAAAAAAAATTAATCCTATATCATACAGAGCAAGGGAGCAAAATTCCAATAACATTTCTGTGTATTTCAGGTTCAACTCCATATCCTGGAATGACAGCACGGGAAGTGATGCGCAGTGTTCGTGAAGGTTACCGCTTAGACCGCCCTGATCATTGCCACCCAGAGCTCTATCGCATTGTCACCAAATGCTGGCACCAGGATTTGAACAAACGACCTTCTTTTTCAGAGGTTAAGGTGGATTTAGCACAGCTCCTAGACCATGGCCAGACGGGCTACATTGACCTTGAGAACTTTCCTGAGGGCAGTTACTACTCCATGCATGAAAATAACGATGAGAGGCTCTAATGAATTACAGAACACTAGAGCCAATATTCCCTACCTGAATGGCTTACTTGTATCATTAATATCAATATGGTGTTAATTATTTATATGTAAGCTTTGACATTTATAATGTCTTGTGATGGCAGATGGCAAGCTCTCATTTGTGCTGTCATGCCCTTGGTTGTCATAGTCTGTATCTAAAGGAGTAGAATAATTGTATAATTGCGACAAGCTGGCCTTGCTCGTTTTTCCTTCGTCTTAAACTTTTTATTCAATTTTTTCTTGCTCTTAATGCTGATGTATAATAAATGCAGTAAGATATAAATATTATATAGTACCAGAACTGAAACGATGTTTACATATAAGTTCGTTAACTCTCTGACCTAATACATAACACATTTTAACTTATAAACTTGAACATATTAATGAATATGTTCTCATTTAATACAATGTTTACTTCAGTAGCTGGTGCACATTTTATCTTGCTACATTTGGAAGAATGTAGAATGTTCCATTCCTCTCCTCAAACCTGAGTTTTGTTGCATTAAGACATTCGCCTAAATTACAAATTCATAATTCAGTGAAGCTTTACCAAAGATGGCAAATGCAGCATTATCTTGTACTTGGGTATAATGCTAAAACTTAAAGTACTCTAATCAATGTCATTAAAATCTCTGAATATACTTGGGATATTTCAGCATATTTCATATGGTAGCTTCATTCAACTTTATGGCAGGTCAACCTGTTAGCAAGTTATTAATTTGACCTTTGACTGGCTCTTCATTAGAAATATCTGATATCTGCATTTTTGCAAGTCAAAATATGCAAAATAAACTTGCTGAAATATTCACATTGTGTATTTGCTATTTGCATTGAGTTATAGTTATGCTCTCAATTTCTTATTCAAAGGGGACTTTGAAATTAATAATAGCAATGGATTTTTTTTTTTTTTTTGCACAGAGCTTGTTTTGCATCATGTGTAATGACTACTTGAATTGCTTATATGAAGATCTGCATTAAATACGTAATTTAGGGAAGTTACTGTACATGTGTTCAAATATTTTGCCAGATCCCTTGCTCTGAGTTCTATGCGACTTTTTCTTTCTATTCTGATTTTGTGCTCAAATCTGCAGCTTCTTATGCAAGTTGCAGTATATTTTTGCTTAGAAAATAATGGCTGATATTTATACAAGATGAGTATGTATGGAGCTGAACATTCACTTACCGCAAGTCAGCTTAATGATGATTGATAAGGTTGTGTTTCTCCAAGAGCTGCAGTTCACTGAGTGGATAATTTCAGTGAAGAATTCTTAATTCTACATTGAACAAGTTTTCTTTCAGTTCTTCCTCTTGTATATTTGTAGAGATGACACTCATCTCCTGTAAATAACAGTATATTAAGCTATTGTGTACAGAGTATTTTTTATATATACAGTATTTGAATATTTAAATAAATAATTATAAATACTTTTGTTTCAATAAACAAACACCCTTGTAGAAGAAGTATTAAGAGAATGCTCATTATTTTCTGTAAAATACTGTTTCTCATAAACTACATATGTATATCCCAAGCAGTATGTATCTATCGGTACATATACACAGTTTATGATTTTAAACCCTAACTCGTGTTAGAGTCTTGGATTATTCTGGCTTTACTGCCCTCAAGGAAGGGTCCATGCCAGTGAAGGATGCAGTGAATTCTATCTAAAATGCATAGATGCAACTGTTAAAAGACACTGCCGTTAGTAAGCTTGTTTTATATCTACAAAGCACTCAAACTGTTTGGTTATTCAGCTCTTTAATATTCTGTTTCTAACATTACCACGTTCACACTATCACTATTAACCTGCTACCCTCATGACCAGTTCACTCTCATATTACATATTATTATAATCAAAACCAAGCACTAAACCCACAGGGGTCTCTCATATTACATATATCATAATCACAAGGTAAATAAAGCTACTGAAAGATTGTTCTTCATATTCTGCAATGCATACCCATGATTCATTCCATGTCATCAACCATAAATAAAAAGAAATAATGATATACAGTACTACTACTACTGCTAATAATAATGATAATGTTCACACACAATAGAACAGTGAACCCATGTGGGCTATACAATGTTGAATGTCAAAGGGAAGCATAAGTGTCAAGAGTAATTGAATTTACAGTTGGTGAAATAATTCTGCTTTGTTTTACAATAAAGGTGAAACTTTGTGAGAGGGGATCAAAGTGACTGAATCAAGACACTGAAGGGGGTCAGTAAATGCAGCTTTTGCACTATTTGATAAATGGGATAATCAACAGATATGTATTTGACTCTCAGCACTGAGGTGTGATGGTGCCTCCGTGAGACATGCACTGTCTCGTGTTTGACACACAATTATCATGATGGTAGCATTTCCAATAACTGACAGGAGGATGGCTGTTTTTTACCAAAAGTGACTTTTTGATTAGATACTGACTGAAAACATTGTCAGCAAACTCCAAGGTGCTGGGGCAGCACTGAAATATACAGTAAATCCTCAATTTAGCCGACTAATTGTGGTAAATGGGTGGTCAGTAATGTTGAATGGGGTTGATAGAGATGAGTGTGTTTTGCTGTGATCATAACAACCGATAAATCTGTAACCAAATCAACTGATACAGTCTATTTTGTCCTATATTTCCAAAGTACATTAAACTGAGGTCTGTTAAATCAAGGTTTTGCCATAGCTATTAAGGCCACTTTCCTGTGGGAGCCTGGAAGCTCCTGCACTGCAGAGGAATCAACAAGTTCATTACCCTAAGCCTAAGATTTGCTCAGTGACTTGACAACAGATGATCCATGTGTCTGCTGCAGATGTTACACAGCCAGTGATGAATGAACTTTGGGAAGCAGAGGACTACAGAAAATGTGGAGGTAGATGTGGTAGTGATGCCAATGACTATAGTGAGAAGTGTGTACAATTCTGTGTAAATTCTTGGTTTTACAATAAACAGCTACACATGAAACTCCATCAGAGGATCTGTGCTTGGGAGACAGCTCAACATTTTCTATGATTTAAAAGATAAGGATAATCATTTCTTAAAATGCCAACATTGTATGATCTAAACAGGTTTAACACTTTTTCATGAATATTAAAAGCAAAGGAACCAGGAACTAGAACCAAGAGTTGATTCAAGATCTCTGCACAATTCCTTTCGAATCTGACAGAGCCAATCATTTCTATTCCTACAGCATTCCCCACACAATCATTAACCATTATCCACTCCCATTTAATCACTTTCCATCCACAAACCATCAATTACTCCACCATAATATACCCACATTATCTCTCTCCTCCCTCCCCCCCCCAAAAAAAATACTTTTATGGGGTTATATAATTCTGTAGAGTGTACTCTGGGAACTACTAGTTCTCAAGCATAGTCCATGGAATAGGAGCAAAAAATTCTTAGTTAAATTTTAGCTCTGTAGGACTTCAAAGAAACCAGCATGTATATATGTGTATGTATACATATGTATATACATATGCAAGGAATTCACAAGAGCAGGCGGAATATACACAAACACTGATCTCTGGCTCGTAGGATTGAGTCTCCTTCAGCCAGAGATCAGTGTTTGTATATACATATATGTATATGTAAATATGTATTTTTTTTTATTATTTTTTTTATTAACACATTGGCCGATTCCCACCAAGGCAGGGTGGCCTGAAAAAAAAAAACTTTAATCATCATTCACTCCATCACTGTCTTGCCAGAGGGGTGCTTTACACTACAGTTATAAAACTGCAACATTAACACCCTTCCTTCAGAGTGTAGACACTGTACTTCCCATCTCCAGGATTCAAGTCCGGCCTGCCGGTTTCCCTGAATCCCTTCATAAATGTTACTTTGCTCACACTCCAACAGCACGTCAAGTATTAAAAACCATTTGTCTCCATTCACTAACAAATACGCTCACGCACGCTTGCTGGAAGTCCAAGTCCCTCGCACACAAAACTTCCTTTACCCCCTCCCTCCAACCCTTCCTAGGTCGACCCCAACCCCTCCTTCCCTCCACTACAGATTTATACACTCTTGAAGTCATTCTATTTTGTTCCATTCTCTCTACATGTCCGAACCACCTCAACAACCCCTCCTCAGCGCTCTGGATAATAGTTTTGGTAATCCCACACCTTCTTCTAATTTCCAAACTATGAATTCTCTGCATTATATTCACACCACACATTGCCCTCAGACATGACATCTCCACTGCCTCCAGCCTTCTCGTTGCAACATTCATCACTCATGCTTCACACCATACAAGAGTGTTGGTACAACTATACTCTCATACATACCCCTCTTTGCTTCCATGGACAAAGTTCTTTGTCTCCACAGACTCCTAAGTGCACCACTTACCCTCTTCCCCTCATCAGTTCTATGATTCACCTCATCCTTCACAGACCCATCTGCTGACATGTCCACTCCTAAATATCTGAATACATTCACCTACTCCATACTCTCTTCCTCCAATCTGATATCCAATCTTTCATCACCTAATCTTTTTATCCTCATAACCTTACTCTTTCCTATATTCACTTTTAATTTTCTTCTTTTACATACCCTACCAAATTCATCCGCCAACCTCTGCAACTTCTCTTCAGAATCTCCCAAAAGCACAGTGTCATCAGCAAAGAGCAACTGTGACAACTCCCACTTTGTGTCTGATTCTTTATCTTTTAACTCCACACCTTTTGCCAAGACCCTTGCATTCACTTCTCTTACAACCCCATCTATAAATATGTTGAACAACCACGGTGACATCACACATCCTTGTCTAAGGCCTACTTTTACTGAGAAATAATCTCCCTCTCTCTCCTACATACTCTAGCCTGAGCCTCACTATCCTCGTAAAAGCTCTTCACTGCTTCCAGTTAACTACCTCCTATACCATACACCTGCAACATCTGCTACATTGCTCCCCTATCCACCCTATCATATGCCTTTTCCAAATCCATAAATGCCACAAAAACCTCTTTACCCTTATCTAAATGCTGTTCACCTATATGTTTCATTGTAAACACTTGGTCAACACACCCCCTACCTTTCTTAAACCCTCTTTGTTCATCTGCTAACCTACTCTCCGTCTTACTCTTAATTCTTTCAATAATAACTCTACCATACACTTTACCAGGTATACTCAACAGACTTATTCCCCTATAATTTTTGCACTCTCTTTTATCCCCTTTGCCATTATACAAAGGAACTATGCATGCTCTCTGCCAATCCCTAGGTACCTCACCCTCTTCCATACATTTATTAAATAATAGCACCAACCACTCCAAAACTATATCCCCTCCTGCTTTTAACATTTCTATCTTTATCCCATCAGTTCCAGCTGCCTTAACCCCTTTCATTCTACCCACTGCCTCACGATCTTCCCCCACACTCACAACTGAATCTTCCTAACTTCTATAAGATGTTATTCCTCCTTGCCCTATACACGAAATCACAGCTTCCCTATCTTCATCAACATTTAACAATTCCTCAAAATATTCCCTCCATCTTCCAGATACCTCTAACTCTCCATTTAATAACTCTCTTCTCCTATTTTTAACTGTCAAATCCATTTGTTCCCTAGACTTCTTCAATTTATTAATCTCACTCCAAAACTTTTTATTATTTTCAACAAAATTTGTTCATAACATCTCACTCACTCTCTCATTTTCTCTTTTTTACATTGTTTCACCAATCTCTCAACCTCTCTTTTTCTCTCCATATACTCTTCCCTCCTTGCATCACTTCTACTTTGTAAAAAACTCTCATATGCTAAGTTTTTCTCCCTTACTACCCTCTTTACATTGTCATTACACCAATCGCTCTTCTTCCCTCCTGCACCCACTTTCCTGTAACCACAAACTTCTCCTGAACACTCTAACTCAACGTTCTTAAACCTACCCCATACATCTTCGACCCCATTGCCTATACGTACTCTCACTTGCCCATCTATCCTCCGAACAGTTGTTTATATCTTACCCTAACTGCCTCCTCTTTTAGTTTATACACCTTCACCTCTGTCTTGCTTGCTGCTTCTATTTTCCTTGTATCCCATCTACCTTTTACTCTCACTGTAGCTACAACTAGAAAGTGATCTGATATATCTGTGGCCCCTCTATAAACATGTACATCCTGAAGTCTACTCAACAGTCTTTTATCTACCAATACAAAGTCCAACAAACTACTGTCATT